GTGGAGCTTAAACATGTTTTAAAAATAAAATAGAAAACATTTATAAATTGAATTGACGATTGAAAATGTCCACGAACAAGTGTGAATGACTGATATAGTCTACCAGGAAGGGATGTGTTAGTCTCGATGTTTAAGGGATACTTTCTATATTTACGGTTTCTTTGATTTCTTCTCTTGCAAAACACTTATTTTTTTCTTTCCTCTATGATTCAAGGCGGAAAATTGATGTTACGCAGATCAATGACTCGGGATCTGCACCCGTTAATGGCAATTGCCTTATGGTTCAACTGTTCGATATTTTCCTTTTGCTTTTCCTATTTTTTACGCATCAGTGAGAATTTAGTCAGGTCGAAGGGTTATAAATGAGCAGTCGACCTTTCAAAATCTTCCTCCTTTTTAATGAGAAACAAAATTCATTTTGCACAAAAAACGTTTGATATAGGCAGCACCAGTTCACCGAACTCATTAGAATTATTGCTGCCGAAAGGACTTTGGACTCAAGAGAAAAATAACGAATAAAATCTCGAAACCTTTCGTACCTCTCAGAATAGAGTATGCATAAATTAATGCGACTAATTATTTTTTTCTGATTTATTCAAAAGGAATCAAATATGTTACGCTAATTAGTGGAGGGTTCATTGAATATTTCAAAATTGAGTTATCTGCGATATTTTATATACGCGTCATCGGTTCCACAAAACGTTAATTATCCTCATTTAGTTATCGATCATGGTCTTTTTTCAGATACTTCCATTGAACCAAACAACTCTTGAGTTCAATGATGTGTGCTCTGCACATCATGTGGGAGAAATAATAAAGGGTGGGAGGATAAGAAGGAAAGATTTAAAAGTGGCCGGATTGATTCAGTGTTTCCGCGCATGTCAACTGTTCATTCGTTTGTGAAGTGAGTTTTTCATCGCGAGAGATGACGGTTTTTCTTCCTCTGGATTGTGCTATCCGACGCCGACACGTCAGATTGTGGGGGATTTCCCCCTCGAGATATCTCCCCAGAGGGGCTCCGCCCCAGTCGAGACAATCTCTAAGCTTCCGACTGGTCTACCAACTTGAGTGGTAGGGTAGTGCATGTAAGTGTAAGTTGGAGTAAGTATGGGGAGAGCAAAGAGTATGATAAGCAAGAGGAAGGAAAGATCGCGTGTGGTATATGGCCGTTTGTTAAGGACATTCTCCGACATTCGTTGGGTATTGATGGAAATTCCTACGGAAAACTTCCGATCAGAGCAGGCGGCTGCAAGGGGGAAGGGGAGCGGGAAGGAAAGGGGGCCGGGAAGGGCCTCTGCTGCGAGCCCTCAGCGCAAGGGCAAGGGCCGGAGCCCACGTACCTCTCCGCGAGGTCCTTCGCTGGCTGCGCTAAAGCTAAAGGAGAAAGTGGACATATCAAATGCACAGTGCATGGTGCAGACAAAGACACTCAAACGGTGCTGTGAGTAACATTGTGTTTAAGATTGCCATATGTGCGTCATTGCATCAGTGCTCATACATATACAAAACAAGACATTTCATATGTGCGTGTACACAATACATAATGCAAGTGAAGATTAAAATACATTTCCGTTGCTGTGCTGTGAAAGGGATCAAACAATATATTCAAATACAGACACAAACACTCAAGCATTTTGAAAATTGTTCACAGAACTTGATAAAATTGAAAGGAAGGGAATGGCTCCAAGACCCTAATGCTTCTCTCCAATAGCGCGTAAGAGCGTGTATAATACTCATTTTTCTAATATACAAAAGGAATTTAAAGTGTCGCGGCCTCAGAAGGACTAGAACCTATCTGACATTGAGAAATATTTTCAGGATAACACGCTGAAAGTTTGAGGGGAGCTAACTCAAAATGCAGTAGCGTTTTGCTCGTAATTTCTTTCGGGGCCCACGACGGGTTTGAAATCTGTCTTTTAATGCTTAAGATTTGCCACTAGATAGTTCGAACATGGCAAAAAATTGTTTCCTCCCAAAACGTCAGATAGGAGTTTGTAACTACTTGGCTGCCCAGGAGACGCCGCGAAACGTTGGCACCTGTGTCTAGGACGCGGTGCCTCCCGATCATTTCACATTTCGCCCTAAAGAAGGGCGCAGAATGGCATTCGAAACGTTAGCACCTGTGCCTAGGGCACGGCGTCTCCTGGACAGCCAAGTAGTTACAAGCTCCATCTCACGTTTTGGGAGGAAATGATTTTTTAACATGTTCGAACTCTCTACTGGCAAATCTTAAACATTAAAAGGCAGATTTCAAACCCGGCGTGTGCCCCGAAAAAAATTACGAACAAAATGACACTGCATTTTGAGTTATCCTCCTCAAACTTTGGAACCTTACGCTCTCAGATAAGGGCTCGTCATTCTGACGCCGCAGTGTGCCAAGAGCAGCAGCTGCCTCCTTGTCGTGCAAGCCCAGCCCGCTCTCACGCGCTGGAGCGTAGCGAGCGAGTCGCCGGGTGCCGATGCGCAGGAGGGAGGAGTGCAATGCAAGTGCGGGGCATCGCAACGCGCCGTGTCGTTTGGACCTGGGCCCGGCCGACACCTGCCGTGACCGAGACCTGACGTGGGCCTGGGCCTGCGGTGGGTACCTGCGGTGCAGAGCCGCGAGTCCTCGTCGTAGCCGTCGGGGCAGTCGGGCGCGCCGTCGCACAGGTACTGGATGGAGATGCAGTTGCCGTCGCCAGGGCACTTGAACGGCTCGTACGGGTGGCAGGCGTCACCTGCGCACACAGAGGCCGGCGTTTACACGCAGTTGGCGCGCGCCCTCGCTCCCCGCCACGGGGCTCCCGCGGCGCCTCCTCGACCACCAGGACCCCCGGCTCGTGCTGCGGTTGCAGCTTTCTTCTTTCTT